TTCACGAGAAAATCACAAGTGAAATGCTGTTCCGCGTTCCTTCGAGCCCATTCAAAAGTGCAAAGTGCACACAAAAGAAACTGGATAACATGCTGGATAAAGTATAAAAGAATTGACAACGAGAACATGGCGAGATGAATCAATGTGAATGTGCCTGTTATGTGTATATAACTTAAGACTTTTTGAGACTCTTATGTAGCTTTCATAAACCTTTCCTTTTGGTTTAGTATGGCTTATTTTTTGACTACAAAATCAAATAACATCCTATGTAAAACAGGAATGCCAATGGTTTGGAAATATTCACAAGAAGTTATCTATTCATTCTTATACATTTATTTTGATTAATTAAGCCGCTTTATCACAGTGCTGATTTAAGCATAACCAGATATCCTGACCCAAGTTTACCTTCCGAAAGAAGAGGGTAAAGATGCAAATAGAAAAAATTCATGCAGTAGTCCTGGCTCTGTCGTTCTTAAAGAATCGAAAGGCGCCAGGCTCTCCGCACAAACTACTCACTATTTATTATTGACCAAGAATTTTCCAAGAAAAAAGAACTTTGAGTTGGTAATGACCGATAAAAGTTCTCTGACTTTATAACTCTCTGAATATCTGCGTACGTTTTCTTGTTCGCATCAAAAGTAACTTATCCGATCATCCTAGCTAATCGGTTAATTTTATCAACAGCTTCAAAGATTGCAAATGAGACACAAGACTTCGTAGACATCATTCGCATTTCTTGAAAACACTAAATTCGCACAAACTGAAATAGGCACAAAAACTGTAAGGCGTATATGTTGCATGTGTACAAATGTTCTTGGAATCACTTCAATCAACATATGACATCATTTGCCGTCTTTAAACACGCTCTTGGCCTTTGTGAGTCTTTTAGTACAGCTGTAAATAAAGTAAGAACTGAAGTTTTTGATTGAAAATTCTTTTAATTTATTTACATTTGCTCAGGTACGACTTTTTCAAAAAATCATTGCAATGATCCTGTATGCCGTAATTCCATACTTTTGCAGGCAAATCTATTGAATTCAAAAGCATTTCTCGGCGAATTCATAGTTTTCTGTTACTCAGCTAAGTCTTGAGGTTTTTCAGACCAACCACTCAATACATAGTTTGAAAAACATTGAGAGCGTGGTTAATTAAAACAAAAATGAATTACTTGAGGAAATCTCTAACTTTTCGATCAAAAGTCCAGGCTTTTCTCGCATGATAATTTTTGAATGATTCTATCATTTCTCAGCCAGTGATGTAAATGCTTACTAACTTCCACATATGACAACCTTCTCCAGCATGTCCGAAAAAGCATAAAATCAACATATGTTTGTGAATCTGAGTTGGCGAAAAACTGCGTTGCGGAAGGTTTACCTTTGGATAAATATCTTCATTGACACTTCCCTTCTTTTGAGGCAGTATAGCTAGCTTAGGTAGTTTTGTAGCAGTTTGTATTACCATAAAGTGTTAGAGTAAAAATTGAATGCGAGTTTACAACACTAGCTCATGAATAATTATTTTTTGCTTTTCTTGGGTTAAATCGGAAACTTTTTGCTTTTACTTGATGCTGAATATGTTTGAAAAATGAATCTTTCTGGTGGGCAACTAAATAGGAAAATACTGTTATCAACCTAATTCTAAAAACAGTTCCAATAAACTTGAATTCAGTTTTCGTAATAAACTTTGCTACGGAGATCTAGATATTTTTTGTTGTTGTTACTATTGCTTTAGTGCTGATATATTAGGTTGGCACATAAGTTTTGCAACTTTTCCCGTAACTTTTTTCCTATTTTATGTAGCAATCTCATTTTGTGGCGTCATGTAGATCGTGATGTAAGCTGCAAGTCTTTGCAAACCGTTTGATTTTTGATAACGTAGTACAAGAAATCTAATCATTTTTTGAAAACTGCTGAAAATCGAGGTTTCACGATTTTTTGGCAAATATGAAGCCCTACGAAACCTGATTCAAACATGTGAAAAAGCAATTATAGGCAGCATGTAGCGGGAAGTTGGCGCATTGGAATCAGTGAAAAAGAAATGAAATCTTAACACAAATTAAGGTGGGCCGCCTTTGAGAAGTTGAACAAGTCAAATGCGTCAAGTTTTGAAGGCAATTTGTCAATAACTAAGCTGCGAAAAGTCAGATTTCGCTATAACTTTGCACTATAGGGTAATCCTATGCGGTAAACACGAATATCATATTCATTTCTCGCTGAAATGAAATTCATGTTTTGATCTCACGAACAAGGCCTTTTCATGCGAAACGGATCTCATTTTTGTGATCAGCATGTCAAATAAGCCCTACAGGCCAAGTTTCAGCAAAATCTGATGCATTCTAAAAATTTTCCCATAGTACCGTAAACCTACCGTAATCCTCACATAAGATGGTAAAATTCGGCAAAAATGTGTGCATTAGAAGCTTACATCATATTCCTTATATTGCCAAAAAATGAATGCGCTACGTTCAAATAGACAAAAGTTATATAAAAATTTGCATTACTTATGTGCCAACCTAATATTAGGTTGGTGCAAAAGGAATGGCCGATTTGCGAATTCTCAATTTGACGTGGTATAACTTTCTAAAGAATCCATATTTCTGAATGCGGTAAAGACCCTCAGAAGCAGCAAATTTTTCGCCATACAGCGCATACTTATTTACCAGTGCGTCACCTCCGCTTCGCGGAGGTTCGCACTGGCTCCCTATCCGTATGCCTTTCTTATGTTCGCATGAGAATGGCTTTGAAACTCACCACGCGATGATGAGCATCACAAATGAATCGTAAACAACTGTTCATTCATGAAGCATCTTCATGTAAGATCGGTAATTTTGTGAAAAAAAACTTTGTTGCATGGAAACAAATGCGAATTTGAACGGATTACACTGAATTTATTTTAGTTTGGTAATCGTCATAAGGATAATAGTCACCTTGGGCTACATTTTAGTGCAAAAATCTTTTCAGTTTTTTCAAATAAAACCTTGCCAAATCGACCATCTACGCGTTCATCACTTTCTGGCGCTGTTTTCGCAAAAAAGCAACCTTTTTGAGCATTTTTTGGGCTAGAATTCATGGCGCGCAGAGTTACTTGTCAGGCAAATCACAGCTTTGCAAAAAGTCGAATTAGCGACCCAGTTTTGCGTGCCAAAAGGCGCGTGGACCCGTTTGACGCGTAAATTTTGAGGGACCCGTTCATCGAACCGGCTCGTCCTTGCGCATGGTGGGCCTACACGCTGGCACGGTATGTTATGCAAAATTGCAGCCCGATAGCTTAGCTGCATCTTCCTCTATGAATTTCGTGACAGACAGATTTTCACACAGACACACAGACAGACACACAAAGAAACAGACGGCCTTAGCGCGTTATTATAGTAGGATACTCAAACCATAAAAGGCAAGAGAAATACGGACTAAAAGATAAAGAAGGTTCTTCTGCTAGAACCTTCTTTTTGACAATTCATAACTTCCTTCAATGTTTTTTAGTATAAATGATAAGTGGCCTATCTTGTAGCCACAAGCCAGTAGTACAAAATGCATTAAAAGAATTCGGACAAAAAAGTTTGCGAAAGAGAGAAAAATTGAAATTTAAAATTTAGTTTTTTCAACATTTTTTCACTGTGCCTCAAAGTCCGGAATGTAGAATTTTCTGATTTTCTACGTACTGAACAGCTGGATGTTTTTGCAAAAACTGTTAATAAATGTCCTAGCCCTACGCTTACACAATTGAGCAAAGCTTCGGCGACTGACTTCCTCAGAAGAAAATTATGGGTCATAAAATGACCGCAATAGCTACCCATGTTTAGGCGCCGATATCTCAGTCTGGATAACTTCAAAGAATGCAGTTAAGTACGCATGATGTAGACAATTTCTTTTACATACAAGAGCTAAGTTTTCGAAGAAATCCCATTGATACGCGCTTAAATTCTGGCCGGAAAAGTGAATGCAATGAAATTCTGAATTTGGATGCGGTTATTTGAAGCTCAGTAACTTTACAAAAAATGATGATGAGAGCCCGTTTTAAGTAACGTTAGATAGAGCATGAAAACAGCATCGCGATGGTATACTACATCTATTGTAAAGAAGCAGAGTTGATGGGGAAAAGTTGCCCTGAAAAAGGCTTAGAAAATCGGCCATTTCTTTTGCACCAACCTAATAGATCTAGTAAAAAATCACTCAAAATAGTTGGTACTTTCTGTAATGCGAAATTTATTTTTCAGGAATAAGAGTGCCTTAAGCTTTTTGACTGATGTTATAACAGCATACACGTGACCGACCGTTATATACCATTGGTTGTGTACCGAATCTCTTGCACTGATAAATCTTGTCTAATGACATCAAAGGCTTTTTTTCGATTTTTAACAAGTGGGTTCAGAGGATAGTTCGTGTAGCTCACGTTCGGTATGACGAGGGGGCAGAAGGGGAGTTGGCACGAAAAGCTGGGATAAATTATTGCACGATTTGACGATTTGACTTTCTGCATGCTTATCAATAAATTTAAATTTAACACCATCAGACCCTAGTGGCTTTGGAAAACACTACGATTTGTTCGTTTGCAAGCAGAAAAATCTTTGCAGGCCCTATTTTTATCCCTCCTGCAAGTTGCCTGCTCTCATCCTCTTCCTTCCTCTCAAGCTCTCCCCCTCCCTCCTCTATCAATCCCTAGCAACCTCTTGATTGATAAACACGATCTGATATAAAAAGTCTATGGATTCAAAAGACCAAGGATGTAAAACGTTTGCCCCGCCCACCTCTTGCCGGGCATTTGTCTGGAATGCTGCCCGATGTGCGATCACTCTAGGAACTATAAGTCTGCTTCTCTTGTTGATAGTCGGTTTCATCGTTGATCCGAAAATACGAGGCTGAGACCTCTGCACTCCAGAAAATTCTAGCGTGACATCTTCTATTCTCTTTTACTTTTAACCATTTCGTTTAACACGTTGTTTTGGTCCCTCGCGATTCCGTTTGTTTTCTGATACAAATCACCATTCCTTCTTTTTTCACAGAATGACTGCGGGACCGACAGCTGGCAGAGACGTTAAACTGGTCCCAATCATTCCAGATGGAGGATGGGGTTGGGTAGTAGTACTTGGATCTTTTGCCGTACATGTTATAGCTGATGGATTTGTATATTCATTCGGTGTACTCGTTGATGTCCTTATGAAGGTGAGTTGCGATTTCTTTTGGCCATCTTGTTTTGATTTTTTACACTATTGTAACTCTCCTCATATGCGCTTACGTAGGGAAAACACACACCGCAAGTGGTGAAAATGAATTGAAAGATAACTTAGATGGGATCGAGTGTCCTGGTTACAAAAATTATATTCAATGGCTACGGTAATCTTCATGATGCATTAAGGGTTGAGGCTTACATTTTGCTACCTCAGCCTCAATAAGACAATACCGTAATCTTGGGCATGATATTAATAGTCAAGATGTCCTGATGAACCCCCTCATGCGAAGTTTCTGCCAATTCTCACATTTTTGTCCTTTACCGTATGCCCGCCTAACCAACATAATGATCAGGTTTCAGCATCACTTCCTTCAGAATAAGTTAGCGTCAACAAATTTGCAGATCCGAAAAAAGTAATTTCTGCGCCGATGTGCACCTAGCTCGGAAGATTTAAGTGCTGTACAGTCGCTAGAGGTTTATTTTCGGGGTTCATGGAGTATGTATAGTTATCTTGTCGCTCAGAGTTTGCGCTTCAGATCATTTTTCTATTTCGTCGTAGAGTATTGCTATCAAGCGATTGAGGCTGTAAAACTATCAACACTGAAAAGAGGTCACAAATGGGGAGATGTTGATATCAACCCCGCCGTATAAACAACTCTTAAAATACAGAGAAAAATGCATTAGTTCTTCACGAATTTACTGTGATAGTAAGAAAGGAAGAAAACGTTATCTCAAGGGTTCCTCCCGCGAGGACATTGTGGCAAATATCGGCGAAAAGTTCTTGACCCATAGGAAACAATGCGTACTTCTTATTTCCTCCAATGCGTACTTCTTATTTCCTCCAGGAAAATAGGAAAGTAGTATGCCAACAGAAGTATGGAGAAGACCTGTAGTATCTCACCGTATGCAGAGCCACTGCATTCAACGAAAAAGGCTTATATGAGTTGCAACAAGAGTTACATATTTTGAAGGCGCCTTCCACCAAAATTGGGGGTGATGAAATTGCTGTGCGATAGCGGGGCCCATAACTAAGCAATCGCCCAAGTCTAACTGCAAAAGATGAATTCCAAAGCGAAATAACCTTTCGAAGACAGAAGCGGAAACGCTGGCTCCGCCCATCAACGTGGGTGGTCTGAAGACAACAAGTCCAAGTGAGCTTTTTAGTGAACAGAAAGGTTACAAATTTGATGATCATAATGAGAGCGGATCTATGACAATGCTGAATACGATCTCTTTGGACTTGCTTTCTCCAGATCGACCATGTTGGTGGGCGCGGCCGCTTCTACCTACTGGAGCAATTTTTTCGCTTTGGAAATCATTTTTTTGCAGCGAGACATGGGCGGTTGCGTAATTAAAAGTCCCGCTATTATAAAGCATCAAAACCTCATTACTCAAATTTGGTTGGACGGTACTTTTAGCCTTAGCGTTCTCCAACTACATATTCTTGAAAGCCACTTCATAGCGTCTTCTGCACTTGGATTTAATTAGCTAGATATTTTCTGTCCGGGCGATAGTTTGTCATATATATGGCGATCAAAATATTGTATACTTCTAAAACAACGGATTAATCAGTTTGGCGGAAGATTGGGTGCTGTTTCAGTCCATTAGCCATAGACTTGAGGGGCTATACGATTGACTCGATGCGACCAACCATCTTCAATTTTTCTTTGCAGGAATTCGATTCGGACAACACTATGGCTTCTTTCATCATATCGCTGTTAACCGGTCTCACCTTAGGATCTGGACCTTTAGCATCTGCTATTTGTAATAAATATGGATGCCGGACGACCACAATCATCGGCGCAGGCATCGCTTTTGTAGGGTAGGTGATTTTACAGGAAAATGTTTTCATGGAATTTTTACTAAATTTTATAGATGTGCCGTAGCGTCATTTGCCACAGCCATGTGGCATATAGTTGCCTCTGTAGGAATTGTAATGGGTATAGGCTTTGGTCTTATGTACTGTCCAGCTATCGTTATAGTAACAATGTACTTTGAAAAGTAAGTGATTTCAGCGGTCCCTGATCTAACTTATTAATGTATTTATTTTAGACGACGATCTTTAGCAACTGGAATCGCAGTCTCTGGTGCTGGAGTTGGCACAGTATTATTCTCACCGATAAACGATTTTATTATTAGTCATTTTGGTTGGAGAGCGGTTTTCTACTCCTTTTTAGGTACATATGCTTTTTGAAGGGGCGGTGTATAGTAAATTTGGATATCTACATTCTTCATGAAAACTGATTTGAGACCTTATTCAAGCCATTGCCCAAGCGACAACTCATGTGACCTATTCGTGGCCCACAAATTCGACTTGAAATCTTACCCCAACCGTACTTTCTACCGTACTCGGCTACGCTGATTGGCTTGCCAGAGAGTAGGGTCTGGGAAACCTTGAAGTCGGCTCGCCACGAATGGGCTGTAAGAGCTGCTACTTGGGCAATTCTCTTTGCTTGGACACTGCCTCTAAATTCTATAATTATGAAAAGCAATAAAGAAAATACAGGGTGTCCCAAAAAAATGTTAACACTATTTGATCGTTAATAACTCCCTTGATTTCATGTCTTTCGACGAACTTGAGGCACCATTCTGTAGAGATAGGTTCAACTTAGATTTACAGTATGGAACGAATCACCGCTCTATCTTCATTACTGTAGGACTACGGTGAGAAATTGCAGCATGTGGAACCGTCGTGAAGTATGCCCTCTGACAAACTTTTTTCAAAAAATCTGGAAAATCATGTACTAGGGTTTTCGCGCACGCTGATTTTACTAAACAACTTTTTACGAGTGTTTTCAGCGTTTTTGACGGTGTAATCATATTTTTGACGCATGCTGGGAAGTCATTTATTACACTTTACCTAGGATAACTTTGAAAAGAAATATCATAATAAAGTGGGAATTACATATCCGAAATCTTTCGAAGCAGAAAATGGCCTTCAATGGCATAAAATCCTTGTCAAACTTCCTACCGTAATTCTACAATAAAGAGGAGAGTTAGGTGATTCGCTCCATACTGTAAATCTAAGTCTATCCTCGCTCTACAAAACGGTACCTAAAGCTTGGCAAAAGGCTTGAAAGCATGGGAGTTATTAACGATCAAACAGTGTTAACATTTTTTTGGGACACCCTGTATATGGGCCATCTCCTAATAAATGGTAGCTTTTTTCTTTGAAAATCAATATAGTTCACATAAAGACCGTTCTTTTTCTTATGGCAGTGTTGCAGGAATCCTTTCGATCTGCGTCTTAGCCGGTGCGTCATTCCGCCCTCTTCCATTTAGAGAAGTTGATGATGAGGACGAGGTTGAGCGCAAACAAACCCCCAAGAAGCCCAAAGCAGGAAAAGCTGAAGTATGTCTGCTGACCATTAATGTTGTTGCTGATATATCATCTTTCTTCTAGGAAAGCGCTTCATTGCTCACAGATGAAAAAAGCGCTAGCCCTCATGAAATTATAAAACAAGCCAGATCATTGACAGAAATCTCACCAGTCGAAGATGGAGGTAGTCAATAAATTAGAGAAATCTAGTGTGTTTCCTAAATGATTTTGTTTATTTTAGATGTGATGGCGCGTAAACGATGTGAAACTGTAGGCGAAAGGGAAGTAGGATATTTGAACAAGAAAGATGTCTTCTATACCGGATCAATAACGAATGTGGCCGAATTCAATGAAAATCCGGACAAATGCAGGTATTAAATTTTGTACTATACATTACTGAAAAAACTGCTAATGCTCAAGGATTTAACGCTAAAAGAGAAATGGCCATTGTTGATCAGAACTGAAGTATATAGTAGGGGTTCTCCACGTTCGACTTTCAGTGAATCTTGGCATTACGATATGCTTGTTTCTAGATGTGAAGCCTCCACCAAGATTGTTACAACTTTTATTTCGGCTGACGTTTCGGCCAACTCGCCTTCGTCGAAGCCTGTAAGTGAGGAACAAATGAGATTTATCCTCCCAAACGTCTCATCAAATGCAAGGAACAGACAAAAGGTCATGGAATCCTTTGATGTGACCTCCCTTTACACAAATGTACCAAATTCTGCTGCGTTGCAAGCTGTATTTGAGTTGCTGAGCGAACACACCAACAACATC